CCCACAATGAAGGAATGGTTGGTGAAGATGATGGAACTTGCTGAGATGGCTAAATTCTTTGATCAGAGAAAAGACAATCTCTATGTTTATTGCTGACTGGAAACCCCTTATAGGCTTTTTGCGTGAAACAGAAAAAAATGAACTTATGATTAATGGCTTTGAAGATTAGATGGGATAGATTATAGAAAGAAGAGAGTTATGTTGTAGCCATAGAGTAAAAGGTAAATTTATAATTGTACTTATAACTGCTATAAAGAAGATCGGAAGCTACTTTTTTGAATCTTTTTTTCTTTCTTTTCTATTTTTCTTTTACTTTTTTTCCTTTCTTGCACTTTTAGCTTTCTCTTTGATTTCTTTTTCTTTCTTTTTCTTACTTTTTTGAAAAAAAATCTTTAATAAAAATTATATAAAAATAACTTTTTTTTCCTTTCTTGCACTTTTAGCTTTCTCTTTGATTTCTTTTTCTTTCTTTTTCTTACTTTTTTGAAAAAAAATCTTTAATAAAAATTATATAAAAATAACTTTTTTTTCCTTTCTTGCACTTTTAGCTTTCTCTTTGATTTCTTTTTCTTTCTTTTTCTTACTTTTTTGAAAAAAAATCTTTAATAAAAATTATATAAAAATAACTTGTGTATAATTTTATTAAGAATTTTGATTATAATAAAATCTAATACAAACTAAATTTAAAGAAAAAAGAACAGAAAGAAGGAGTAAAAAGTGCAAGGAAAAAGAAAAAAGAAAGAAAAAGAATATAATAAAGAAGAAATACGTATATAAAGAAGTGATTTCCAACCTTCATCATAACAAGTATAAACAAATTTAGTGGTTTTTCACCCCCTCTAAGGTTACAAACGTTTATCTCTTCATCCCATATCCCATCTCTTATCTGTAAACAAATCCATAAAACATCCATCTTTTCAGCCCTGGTGTCAGCAGAAAGTCCATAAAGGGTTGCCAGAAGTAACACATCTTGTTTTAACCTTGATTAAATAAACCATCTTTATATGCCTTTCTTTTACTTACAACAGTTTTAATCTTTAGTCCATTCAAATATTGTCGTAGCCTTCAATATCTAATTTGGAAGAATTTCCTATCCTTCAAAGATCTGATATACTGTAAGCTTTGAAATATGCCATGTTTGTGTTGCATTGATGGCAATCATGGCAGGGACCATGATCTGCCCAGTCTCTGTTGGCAACTTCAGGGACTGTGTCTCCTCTGTGGTTGGTGCCAACTTCCTCTGTGGCCATTTTGGGTTGTGCTGCTGCACATTGGTGATAGTAGGAGAAGAACAATCACACCAACATCACTAGAGAAGGCTGTAGACCAGGGCCCTGTAAAGCAAATTGCCCGCCCAACCCACATACAAACACCCCCTTCTGCAAAAAGCTCTGTGGGATGCTGTAGCATCCTGGAGAATGACCTGCACATCAGTGTCTTTATTTTACATGGTTGACAAGCAGGTCACCCCAAGATAACTAGAGCAGGGCTTTCACTAAAAGGTTCTGACAGCTCTGTGAACCCTCCGCTCTAGCTATCTCCACCTCCAGCCCCAGCACGTTACAGGGGGCAGCTGGTGGGTGTTCATCCCCCATTGCACCTTAGCTTCCCTCCCAGTAAATGATTAGGGTGATATTCCTCTCCAGCCTTGCTTCCAAGGCAGAGCGGAGACCTTCTATGCAGGCTGAGCAAATTGTGCCAGCGTAGAATGGTAAACCAGCTTTTTGAATGTGCCTGGGATGTTTTTTGTTGCATTCTTCCTGGAGAAACCCTTTGGTTGTTTGTGGCCCTTCCCTCTGCCACTCACTTCCTGCTGCCCCCTTCTCCAGGGAAAGGATTGTTGTGTGTTTGGTAAGTGTGTTTTGCAACCTAGATGCACTAGGGAGCCTAACTCTATGTCAGAGGATGCTAGTGGCTGGTGTGGCGCTGGCAGCTGCTGCGGTGGCGGCTGCCGCCTCCTGAACCTTGCCTGCTGCCAGATCCTCCAATTTTGAAGCTTTATCTTGGAAAGTCATGTCCCTTCCAAAGTTTCCCTCCCCAGGACTTCCAAGTCAAGTTTCTAATTTGGATGAAGAGCAATTTTGCGAAGAAGTGGCTTTATTTGAAAGTGGGGGCTGCCCATGGTTTTAAGTCTGCCACCTGAGACAGTAATAGCATAGATTCTGTATTTGCTCTATTCTTAGAAAGTGTCTTTTGTAGGCAGAAGGTTTCAGGTTCAGCCCTGGCATCTCTCCAGTTTGAAAGAGGATCATTTGCCAGGTGGTGGGAAGGCTGTCTGGCTCCCTGCTGCCAGGCAAACACAGGCGGGGGGGGGGGGGGGGAGGAAGATGCAGTTCACCTGTTGAGTTTGCATCCTAGAAAATGATTGACATCCATTGCCTTTCTCAACATGTTTTTACTTTCTTTGTCCACTGGCTCAGCAGAAGGGTCCTGTTTCTAAAGAAGAGGAGCTGCAGGATTGTTAGCTCAAAGTGATCTGTGTTGGTGCTGGAGGTAACCTTGGCAAATAGCCTAGTCCCTGAGCAGCAGAAAGTGGTAGAAAAGGCGAACTCCTTTGGGCTCAGCTCCCACACTGAGCGAGCTAGAGGAAGGGTTCGCAGCAGGCACCACCGAGGAGCAGGCTGCCCTTTCATCCCAGTGGCAGGAGTGGTGCTGTGGAATCAATCTTTGCTTTGCGTTGGAGGCGGGCGTGAGAACTCCTACAGAAAGCAGTTCGGATAAATGCAGGCTTGGCGGACAGTGCCTGGGCCTTTATGCCCCAGAAGTTTGCTCTTCTTCCTTCTAGTCCTCTTGAATGATAGGCTTCATGCATAGGCCATCTATCACCATCCCAGCCTACAGAGGATCTCCTAGTTCCTTGGAACACCGGGCAGCCCTTTGAAGCAGCAAGTCAGCCTCCCAGCTGCTCTGCACAGCAACACTGTGAAGGGAAACTGAGGCCCAGAGAAGGGGTGCTCAGCACAGCCAGCAAAATCACTTGGAACCAGCAGCTGCCCCTCCAGCCCTCCAGTCCAATGCAGTGATCTGCCTCTGACCAGTGAGTAGCAGCGGGGAAAAGGTCACCTAAGCCTGCTTAGAAGGGGGAAGGGTTATGTTGAGGGGCCTGGGTGAACAGCTCACATTGTACCAAGGATATCGGCTACGGTCTTCCTGTAACTTCTTCTCTTGGCAAAGAAAACCCTTATTCCATGCTTGGCAGTCTTAGAAAATAGCTATTAAAAGGCTAAACTAATGCCATTTTAGAAAGGAAGTTAGTGCTTTGCCATTAAACAGAAGCAAGCATTTATATTTGTGCAAATCTGCAGGATGGTCTCTGTTCCAGTTGCCCAGAGTCTCTCCTGGGAGATGGAAGAGTGGCATAGACAATGGATGCCAGAGAATTTATAAATAGCAACTTGTCAATAAAAATAACTAAAATAGGTAATAAGATGCATCGGGTATAATTCTGAGATCCCACTTCTCTCCTATCGTTCCAACCGTCTCTTTCTTTCTCTTCAACTGACTTCTATAACTGCTCCGGAATGATTGCAACGGTCTCTTGTGCACAGCTGAGCCGCTGTTCCTCTGGTGCAGCAGAACCCGTGTGGCTGAGCTGGCTTCTCACTTCTACCCCAATTGCCTCGCTTGCTGTGGAGCCTGGTGGCTGCCTGGCCTGTCTCCTTCTTCAGACCCCCCTCCCCGGGTCTGAACTCAGATGGCAGAAAGGGAGAAGTGTCTGTGTGCATGTGTAGGCCGTCCTGCAGATGATCAGCTAGGATCTTTACTGAAGAAAAGCCAGGACAATTAATTTCTGAACTGCTACTGCACTTTGCAACTCTTCTGAGCTGCTTGTTCAAATGCAGAAAACCAGCCAGGGCTTCAGGTGGAGAGCTTTTTAAAGGCTGTGAGGAAGAGTTTGGAAGCCCGTCTTTGATCAAGTGAGGTGGCATAATGGAGGCATCCCACATTCCCTTGTGGGCCACAGGTGGCTATTCCCCCCACGGCACTCGGGCCTCTTAACGTGACAGAGTTCAGTAGTGGCTTTTGCTCACAGCTGGTGGGCATGTCTCCCCAGCTCAGCTTTGCAGGATAAGAACAGCTTGAAGTCCAGCCTGCTCCAAGTTGTAATATGGGTGGGGGGATATATTTTGTTTTAAAAGTTGAACAGTGAAACTCTGGGGCATTACTGCTTTGATTCTTGGTTGTTTTATTGATAGTTCTTTTCTATCCCACCCTGGGCCCTCCCAGTGAGCTACATGCAAGTACTGGGCCTGGGTTTCTGGGCAACCCTGCCGCTACCATTGCTATCATTACTACTAAATTCACTGAAACCTGTTACGAAACAAACAACCGAAGTTAGTGAGGGCTAAAATAGCTATCCAGATGTCCACATAATATACTGTGGCAGCTCCTTCCTGCAGCTGGCCTGTGGCGCTCAGCTGGGAGCTCTGCTGCGCCTTATGGCTGACGAGGCGGGCTGCCCACTGCTGCTCCTTCAGCAGAGTTAGGTCCTGCTCCTCCCGCAAAGCGGGAAGAGCCAGCGGTCCCTCCCCAGGCCCGTTCCGCCCTCATGGTGCTGTTGAGTCTGCCGAGGACAGGCCACGAAAGCATCTCACACCTGTTGTGAGGTAGGAGCTTGAAGCCAATGTGGTTGCCATGGTTCCGATGACAAAGATGAAAGCCTTTGGGAGCACCCTTGAATAACAACATGGAGAAACCACGTGGGGGACAGAGGAAGAGAGGGCAGGGGCTGCAGGCGCAGTGGAGAAAAGGAGGACAGGAGGAAATTCTCTCACTGGCCATGTGAATCAAATTCAGACAAATTTTTGAACAGTTATATGTGTTCAATAGTCAGGAATAGTCTGACTTGTTCATTAACATGTAACCATCTAGATGATGTTATTGTTACTCCTGCAGTGAATTGGATCTGCAGAGATTTGTTGCTACGTGCAGCAGGGGCTCGGGAGGCTAGACTGAGGGATCTGGGAAGTTCAGCTCTGTGCCTTGGTAGATGCCATGCGATTAACAACCAGTCCATGGTTCTTTTCCTGCCTCCTTCACCCCCAAACCGCTCACTGATTTTATGGGGCTGTGGCTATTGGGCACAGGGCTCTTGGGTGCTTGGAAGTTTACAAGCAGCCCCACTTTTCCTTGGACCAGATCTGGTATCTCCACACAGGCCTGGGCCACGCCAGGAGAGAACGGCTGGCCTAGTTGTTTCCTTGTGAAGTGTGGGACCAGGAGTTCAATGGAGACATCTGGGAGAGGCGGCCAGGCTGAAAGGAGGAAAGGACAGCCTACACGGAGAGGTTTAAGATGATCCTCCATCCAAAATGAGCAAAATCATTTTTGAAAGCCCTAATGCAGTGACTTTGCTCAAGGAAAGCTGGACAAACACCTTGGCAAGGCACACCTGCCCGAGCTTACCAGCCAAGCAAGCAAAGATGTCTCATTTCAGTGAATCTCAGGAAAAGTGCTTAAGATATAGCTTCCTGTGCCCCTCCCACATACACCACAAATGTGTAACTTTGGATAAAGTGATGCTTAAGCACTCACACCAAAAGCAAACATCCATCATGTTCCCTCGTGTCCATCCAGGGTTCTTTATTTTCCATATTTGCTGGAGCAGGTTAAAGCTGGTGGCTTCTGCACATGGAGGATGATGGCAAAGACCAATGGGGTGCAGGCTTCCCCTGCCAACCGTCAGCAAAGCGTCTCTGCAAAAATGACCACCAAAGGTGACCTGGAGCAGACCCAGGTCAGCAACCACAACAGCAGGTAACTGCAGGGGCTTTGGAGAGGCTGCAAGACCCTCGTGGCCCAGGAATCAGTTTGCCAGAGGGGCATCTGGTTATGTTAAGAAAATGGCATTCTGCATATGCTCTGGAATAGTATCCATTTCAGAGGGGGTGGGGGAACACGGAACAAGAGTGGTGGTGCTGCAGGGCTGTGGTGTGCTGCGAACCCTCCCCCTTTATACATGTTTCCTGTTGCACCCACCTACAAAAGCATGCAGTGCAATGCTTTGATGCTGCTTTCATCATTCAAATGGTCTTCACCAGTTGGCTGTCTTCTACTGTATGGAAAGAAGGGGACCTGCTGTGCCCCATCTAGAGGGAGATCAGGCTGGAGAAAAAACAGAGGCTGCCCTGAAGCCAAGGAAAATCTTTTCCTCATGTGAACCATGAAAAAATGCCTGAATATTTTTTCTTGGCCTTCCCTTGAACTGAAGTCTTCACCTGCCTCATCAGTATCTCCCACAGCTAGGGAGAAGCAAGACCTGGTTCTGGTGATAAGGAGCTTCCTTCCAGATCACTGGGCCCCTAACCTTGGTTTGCAAGGCACAAGCCCACAGAGTCCCACCAGATTGTAGATAAAATAGAGGGGCAACTTGGCTTCATTTCTCTGGTGTGCCCACATAGACAGGGACGGAGGCAAAAGCTCTTGAGTCTGTTTTCCTGTCGGATGACTTTGAGGAAACAGTTCAGGGGTTTGGAGGGTTACAGAGGCCTTGTTTTCACGGTTGGTGTGGATGGGGTGCTGCTCAGCTCCATCAGCCAGGGAGGATCACTTGCTGCTTGGTCTCTCTATAGACTTCCCTCAGTTGATGACGATGATGTCTCCTCAGAGCTGCAGCGGGTGGCTGCCTTGGAGGATGCAGACCACCCCAAAAAAGGGGGCCTCTCCAGGTATGCTTCATGTGGCTTTGGCCAGCTAGGACCTGCCAAGGGGAAAAGGCAAGGGCAGGAGCGCTTTCTGAGGTGGGCAGCTGGTCCATGCCATTTTTGCTGGAACTGGGTAACAGAGCAGGGACTTACTCCATGTCCTGAAGCCCAGCAGTCTTTTGCCTGCGTTGCTGGGGATTCCCGTTGCATCTCTTCCTAGGGGGCAGGAGCCAGGTCAACGTGTCCTTTGTTGGAAACTCTGGGCTGCGATCGCCTTAAGAGCAATTCTGCAGCTTGCCTGACAGGACTTTGGTTTCTGTCTGGAAAGATGCAGTCTAGGCTCCTGGCTTCAACATGCAAGGGTGTGGTGAGGTTTCAGCAGGAGGGAGTAACAACATTGTGGGGACTGCTGGAGATCAGGGTGGTGTTCTGTTTGGACTTTCCTGCCTTCCTTCTCCAGTCCTAGTCAGGCAGGAGAAAGAAAAAGTGGCCAGTTCGTTTCCCTGGACAAACTGTGCCTCATCTGCAACTCACAACCAACCAACCTTCCTCCTTCCCTCCCTTCCTCCCTTCCTCCCTTCCAGGATAGCCCGGCTGGTGATGGCTGTCCGGGGATGGGCAAAAAAAGGTTTGAAAGAAGAGGAGAGGCCAGACTCCTTCCTTGAGCGCTTTCGAGGACCAGATGTGAAGAATTTGGCATCAGAGTCAGCAACAGCCGGTGGAGATGGCCTTGCAGGCCAGGGGAAAAAGAAGTAAGTCTCCCTCACTCGCCTGTGCATTCCTATCTGTTCTGGGGGCTGGAGAGGGAATGAGGGCCCTCCTTTCTAAGGGGTGAGGTGGTGTCTCATGAAAGAGACTGGAAAGGCGTATGTTGAAGGGAGACCAACCTTTGGATGGAGGATGGTGGTGGAAGAGCCTCATTGTTAATGACCAGAAAACAGCTGCTGCGTCACACTCTGTGGCGGGAGGCAAGCAGCTGAGAGAAAGGAGAGGTGCTGCTGGAGGACTGGGGTTGTGGGCTGATGCAGCCCGGTCTACCAGTGTGAAGATGGCTTCCTGGGGACCCTTTGTCCATGGTAAAGGAATGCTGCTGCTGCGTTGAACACATTTGAGGAAAGTTCCCCGGACCTCTCACGCAGAACAGCAGAAAGTTTGAGCTAACCAGACATTTGGCAAAACGGCAAAATGCCCCTTGGGGCCAGTCCTAACAGCCGGTGTCTCCAGCTGCTGCTCAGTCCCTCAGTGGTGCCTCATCTCACAGACCAGCTGTCCTACCACCAACTCCTGTCCTTACACACGGCCCAGCAGGCCCCAGCTGCCTAGGCTTTGCCAGGACATTGACTTCATCTGGATGGCATGCTCAGGGTCCTTTTTCTGGGCAGCCAGGGAGGCCTTAAAATGCTGCCCAGAGAAGCTGGAAGGCTGATCGAAGGGAGGTGAGTTGTAATCAGCCCCAGGAAAGGACTGGTAGTCCTCTCATTGCTTTTCCAGGAGGTAGAACATTCAGCCAGAGATTGGAGCTGTCTCTTTCTTCCTCTGGGCTTTATCAAAGCCAAGGCAGTAGACGTTGAACAGAAGTATGGCAGTGGCTGTGCTTGAGCTTGGTCAAATCCTCCCCCAACCCCAGAAAACCCTACCATCTTAGCCTCTCCACCCTGGGAGCCCTATCTAAGCTGAGATTGCAACTGGGATCTGATCATTCATCTTACCACCCTCCTTCCCTGCCCTCCAGTGCAGTTGCCAGCTCGGGTCCTTTAAAAGAAGGTTTTGACTATGTTTCCAGGAAGAAATGGAAAGTCCTTGTGGTGGACCCTGCTGGGCAATGGTACTACCGCTGGCTCCTGGTTATTGCAATACCAGTTCTGTACAACTGGTGCATGCTGGTTGCAAGGTGAGTGGAAAGTGTGGTGGTGGTTAGGGCCTTGCCTCCCGCATGTCTCACTTGCTGGGCTGTGAGGAAAACATTGCTTTTGTGGCCTGACTGTGGTCTAACAGTTGAGCAACCTAGCAGGGCTCTAGCAACTGCAGAGTGGGCCTACTGCTGAGCCTCTGCAGGGAAGTCAGGTCAGGGACTGGGCCCACTGGCTGCTTCTGTTTTGCTGCCATCAAAGGGGGAAGAAAAGATTCACAAGTAGTCCCTTTCACAGCCGTTATTCTGCCCCAACCTGATCAGCCTCTATTGGAGACCTGAGCTGGCACACCTAGACCATCTCCTTCCTTACCTGCCATTCCTGTGTGATCAGTTGTTTCTAGTATCTATCCCCAGCTACAGGCAGTTCTCCTGGCTGCCAGGGAAGAACGTAGGTGGGAGAGATTCTTTCAGGCATGTCTGTCATCAGGAGGAATGCTTTGCTAGTGGACAGCTGTCACCTTCAGATGCATATCTTGGGAAGGCCCAGCATCTGTACAGGGCTGCTCTCCATGGAATTTGTACTGGCTGTCTTTCCTCCCCTGGGAGGGGCCCAAGAAATCAAGAAGGCTCCTTTGGTTCAAGGCAAGGGAGGATCAGCCAGTTCCCTGCACAGTCCACCTAAATGCTCTATCTCACCACTGTGTTTCCACTCTTTTCACAAACTTATTTTCATCCTTTAACGAAGGAGCGTAAAATATACTGCAGCTTTAAGAATGTCCATTACTCTGGGGATCATCCCCCTGACTTTTCCTTGATGGCCCTACTGGCCCCATGGTCTCCATGTGTCATGGGAACTGCAGGGGCTTCCTGAGCTCCTCAGCTGTGGTATCTTTGCAGAGCCTGTTTCAATGAGCTCCAGAGAAGGTACTTGCTCTGCTGGCTGCTTCTGGACTACCTCTCGGACAGCATTTACATCTTGGACATTGTCATCCGGATGCACACAGGTGAATGAGGAGAGGTGGGATCTGGATTGGGAATTGTTTGGTGCTCGTTCTGTAATGGAGGGAACATTCCCTCTCTTCCCAACATGCAGAAAATGCCCCCAGCAAAGTGAGTCTCCTTGGCCGCAGTTCTGAAAAAACCCCAGTGAAAGATTTATCAAGCTTTATTGCTGAACAATTTGTTAAAGAATTACCAGACTGGGCACCATGGAAATGTCTCCACCCTGACAGCATGCTGAGTTAATAGATATCCAAACTGGGGAATACATTCTCAGAACATCTGTGGCCTTCAATACCTTACCTCCCCACCATTCACCACTGTGAGAATGGAAAATGTTTTCCTCTGTGTGGTTGTGCAATCAAGAGCGGCTCCTTCACTGGCCACAGACAGACTGTGGGTCCTAGCTAGTGTGTATAAGGAACAGTAGCATGGAACTAAACATATTTGAATTGCTCTTTGTATTTTTCCTGGTAGGTTATCTTGAGCAGGGATTACTTGTTAAAGACTTCAAGAAACTGCGTGATAAGTACATTGCCACCTTGCAATTCAAGCTGGATGTCTTATCCATTCTGCCCACTGATTTGGCATACCTTGTGGTTGGCATCCATCGGCCTGAGTTACGCTTCAATCGGCTGCTACACTTCCCCCGCATGTTTGAATTCTTTGATCGGACTGAAACAAGGACCAGTTACCCAAACATCTTCAGGATATGTAATCTGGTGATGTACATTTTGGTCATCATCCACTGGAATGCATGCATTTACTATGCCATCTCCAAGGCCATTGGCTTTGGAGAAGACACCTGGGTTTATCCAAATATATCAGACCCAGAATATGGATATTTGACAAGGGAGTATGTCTATTGTCTCTACTGGTCTACATTGACCTTGACTACCATTGGTGAGACTCCTCCACCTGTGCGTGATGAGGAATACCTCTTTGTCATCTTTGACTTCCTGATTGGAGTTCTTATTTTTGCTACTATTGTGGGAAATGTGGGGTCCATGATCTCCAACATGAATGCCACCAGGGCAGAATTCCAGGCCAAGATCGATGCTGTCAAGCACTATATGCACTTCCGCAAAGTAAGCAAAGAAATGGAAGCTAAGGTTATCAGGTGGTTTGACTACCTTTGGACCAACAAGAAAACTGTGGATGAGTGGGAGGTGCTCAAAAACCTTCCTGACAAACTGAGGGCTGAAATAGCTATCAATGTCCACCTTGAGACCCTGAAGAAAGTGCGGATATTCCAGGACTGTGAGGCTGGGCTTTTGGTGGAACTGGTGCTCAAGCTTCGCCCTCAGGTTTTCAGCCCAGGGGACTACATTTGCCGGAAAGGAGACATTGGTAAGGAGATGTATATCATTAAGGAAGGAAAGCTGGCTGTGGTGGCAGACGATGGTGTTACTCAGTATGCCTTACTGACAGCAGGATGCTGTTTTGGAGAGATCAGCATTCTCAACATTAAAGGAAGCAAAATGGGGAACAGGCGAACAGCAAATATAAGAAGCATTGGCTACTCTGACCTCTTTTGCCTGTCCAAAGATGACCTCATGGAAGCTGTGACTGAGTATCCAGATGCCAAGAGGGTCCTAGAGGAACGTGGTCGAGAGATCCTCACCAAGGAGGGACTATTGGATGAAGCGGAAGCTGCAGAAAGTATGGAAGTGATGGATGTGGGGCAGAAGCTGGACAGGTTGGAGACCAGCCTGGATACGCTAAACACTCGCTTCTCCCGACTCTTGGCTGAATATGATGCAGCTCAGATGAAGCTCAAGCAGCGCCTCACTTCTTTGGAGACCAAGGTGAAGGAAGACAAGCAGGACGAGCTTTTTCCTGATGGCTTCATCAGCCCACTGGGGGAAGAGGAAAAAACCAAGCCTTGAGGTCTTGCTTCCTACCCTTTCCTGCTCATTTATTTTGTTTACTTTGCTTGTATGTTACTTATTTCCCAAAAGGTGGCTCTCATCAGACTGTCTTATCACAAGATCCATTTCCAGACTGCTGTTCTTTACATGGCCCTCTCCCTGTAGGACATTCCTACAACTCTCACTATGGTTTTCTTTTTCTCATCAGTTAACACTGATTAATTAATGAATTAATGAATTCTCCCTTGAGCTGTTCAAGAAGCTCAGATTCCCTGTTTCTTAACTCCCCCCATAAACTCCTTTTCCTAGCCTCCTCCCAGATGGGCCAATGCAGACTCTCAGATGTTCATTCCAAAAAACAGCCATGAAATGGAAAGTAGACTAGTTGCCCCTGGTCTTACTTTGACTTCTACTCTTGTAACAATAGCCCTTCTTCCTTTTGAAACATATTTTCACATTTGGTTTCTACCAGCAGATAAAAGAGTCCCAAGTCTTCCTATTCTTGAGACAATTTCTAATGGAATTTTGTTGCCTATGTTATTTCGCAGGTAGAAGGAAGGAAGGGGTGTACACATATTTCATGTGAGTGTGGTGTGGGTGTGGTGTGTTGGGGCATGGAGTCACCTTTTCAAGTGAGGTCTGCATATTTCAAAATTGCAGAGAGAAAGAAGTGCCTAAATCCACTTGGATTCTTCAGCTCGGTTTCTGCTGCCTAATCTTCTTATTCTACTTCTCACCAGTGAGACTTGCTGCTGTGTGTTCTCCTCAGTTTTTGAAGATAATTGAAGTTTCTTCTGGGGCAACATCAAGTGCCAAAAAATGCAGCACATCCTAGCAGGAGAAGGTGTTCAGGGATTATCTCCATGTATCTCAGGCAGTCAGGGAAGGCTTGGTCCAGAGTCCTTCCTGGGCCAGCAATCCTTTCTTGTACTTAGATCCAGCTTCAGGAGGACCTGAAATTAATCTGGGATAGCCATCCAAGTCAGCATACATACTGAAGTAGGTTGAGGCATACAGATGCCCACCAGATCCCCGCTATGAGAGCTGGTCCTCTTTTTAACCAGGAGTCTTTTCAACATCAGAGAGTTTGGATGTAAAATTGTGTGCTTTGCAGGGATTGTGAATTAGGTCTGGGTAACGGAGTTGTCAGGAACGGCTTTTGGCGCAACATTTCTCTGCCTGATCTTGTCTTCTGATTCAGGCCTTGGTCCTAAGGATAATAGGACAAGCAGCCCTTTGACTAAAGAGGAGAAAGATGTGTTTGCACGCTCGTGGCAACACTGGCTTGGTCTGCATGAGGTGGCTCAGCAGTGACTCACTATCGCACTTTTGAAGCTGGTGATGAAGGAGAAACTACTCCATCAAGCCGCTTTATAAAGAGCAGCTGGATCCCTCCAAGTAGCACTAGAATTTGGAGCAGATCAGGCCAGCTGAAAATCATCCAGGTTCCCAAGAAAAAGGCATAGGTGAAAGCAGTGTGCTCTGAGCCATTTTACATGTTGCACTTTTAGGGTGCTTTGAGAGACGTCTGCCTTGATGTAACAGTCAGAGTTACACAGGGTTCCATGTCATACATTAAAAAAAAAATAGGGTGCCCCTGTGTTGGTGATAGGTTAGTCTGGGTGATTTTTCTTCTTGCTGGCTTTTTGTTTCTTGTATGAAGTGGAAAATGGGGCAGTGGAACTGCTGACCCAATCTTTCCAAAGAAGTGTTTTTTACCTAGTAAATGGCTCAGCAGAGTGAGACAGTTCTGATGTGCTGGGTTGGTGGCAGTTGGAGGGAGTGGCTTGTCCACAAGGGGGAGCCGTTGGCCTATAACTAAAGAGGGTGGAGAGGGACTGACACCCCCTCCCCAAGAGAACCAATTCAGTTTGATCAGCAGCAAACTTGCACTAATCTCCTGTTCTTTCTGGAGAGTTAAGCCAACTGTGTAGACAGGTTCTGTTTGATGGAGGTAGCTTGCCTAACATAACATACTTCAGGTGTGGATTCTTCCATCTGCTCAGCTTGATATGATGGTGTTCTGAAGCCACATGCTTATAAAAGTTTCAGAAGTACAGACCAACACAGTTTTGCAGGCTGACTCCTGAAGTTTGCAAATGCATGTGATGCCCTCCAGATGTTCAACAAGCCCTTCAGCAGGCACAGGACTTCCTTCAAAACAACACTTTTTTACGCTTTTTTCCATGGATAGAAAAACCATGTATAACGTTGCTGAAACTCATTTGCCCTTGGCACAGATAACGTAAAGCCATCTTCCCCAAGCCCGCTCAAATTGTTCTTGCTCCGTGCAGCTTCCTGATTTATGGGAATTTTCGTTTCACTCAACAGGCCACAGTGGGAGGCATCCGCACAAGACTCAGCAATGAAGGGAGATGGGGCAGCAGGAGCTCTCTCTGCTTCAGGGCTGGCAGAAGAACAATAGATGCTTCAGCTAAGAGGAGGGCCTGTGCTACAAGCATTTGTAACATCTGCTTTGTTGCTTCTGCTGCTATTGTAGTTACTTTCCATTTGCCTTGGGGAAATAGGAGAGGCTCTAATGCGCTTCCTTCATGAAGAAATGTGAATGTTGTGTTTTGCTGCTCAGTCCCTCATGACAGGATAACGCCAGAGCAGTGAGCAAATCAGGCGATCCATTTGCACAGAAGGCAGTTTCAAAAAAACTCACCCAGGAGCAACAGCTATTTCAGCACTCTGGACAGCAACTGCAGGCCACAGCTGCGGCACGGCGCACTCCGGAGGAATAAAGGGCTGCTTGGGGCAGAAGCCGACGACGTGAAAAGCTCCGAAGGGTCGCGAAACAAAGCACCATAAACAAAACAAAATGAAGCATATTTCATGCAACCTATTTTATTTTAACTTTTTGGAAAGCAGGTGTCACCAGAGAATCGAGCAGCTGTTTTGGGGCACCACATGAAATTAACTGTTGCATTCCAGTGGTTAATAATCAACGGGTGGTGTTCATGGGAACATAACTTGATTGCAGGCACAAAGTTGCTCTGGGTGGGGGGTGTTAACCCCAGTTCCTCAGTGGAAGTGAATGAAGAACCCTAACCAGAGACTTTTCAAAACATCCAAATATCACTTCGCTGAAGCTCAATGGTGGAATCTCGATGCTGGAATAGGTAAGGAAAACTGCACAGCCTTAATATTGAATAAAACATGCCAAGAGCATAAAAATTTTCATGGTTCCTGGAAACAATCTCTCTCTCTCTCTCAGTGAATAATCTCTAACAATTCAGCTTAAACCGAGGCACTGCTTAATGGAAGTGTGATTCTGAGGGGGGCCCATGAAGTGAAGATCCCTCTGCTGTTCCTCATTATTTATTGTTTGCTTTAGGAGGACAAACTGAGCAGCAAGAAGCCGAAAAAGCTTTTGACATTCATGGCCACCCTCTTTGCATCATTCCCAAGAAATGCCTAAAATGGTCCCTCAGTTGAGAATCTGAGCAGCCTCATTGCCTATTGTGTTACAATGGACATTGAGAGTGGGCAATGTGGCAAAGAAATTTGATGGCTTCTCCTAGACCACAAGCGGTGCACCTAGCTGGAACAGAAGCAGAGGGCCAGCAAGAGAGCAGGTTGAAAAGGTAAGCATGTCGTTCTGCACATGCTCAGAGCTTAGGGGTGCAAGTGGCCCATGATGTCTGACAATGTGTGTAAGCAAAGTTGGAAGGGGCGTTGAGTCACTTGCTGCCTGCAAGGAGAGCCGGGAGGCGGACTGTCTCCATGGCACATCTCTTTTCACTCGGAGATGGAGGCAGGAGGCTCCAGACTGACTAGAATCATTAATTAAGATGTTGGGGATATTCCTGGGCAAGGCACTGCTTTGCTACACAGCTGACACATTCACATTTCTACATGAAGGAAGCTATCTGGAGGTTGCTTCCTATATATGGTTTACATTCCCAGGCCGTATCTCGAAGATAGCATGGCTGCCATGCTGACCTAGCAGGAAGGAATAAATAAGGAGAAGGTCACACGGGTGGGTTCATAAAAAACACTTCAGCATCATGCTGTAATGCATGCTGCGTCTACCTCTTCCTTTGTCTTGTCTTAGAAATGCAGCAGGCCAAAGGTATTTAAACTGTGGTTCTGCTTCTGCTCGGGGCTGCTCAGCAAGCTGCCAGTGCTTTGCTGGGAGCTCAGCGCGCACTGTTTTGTTGTTTGCATGCTAATACATTTATGCTATATCTTCACAGTGACTTGGTTGCTCTAGGCAAGCCAGGTTTTGGCTACAAATAATGTAATGACTTAGAGCTTAACTTTTTCCAAAAAGTGTCTGCAGATCTATAAAGTGCAAGCACAGAGACTCTGAAAAAGATCATGGAGTAGAGTGGGGAGGGGTGGAGTAACGAGTGGCAGGGTAGACCCTGAAACCACCACCTCCATAAGACCTAGTTGACTAAAGCACTATGGATTGTGCACATTTTCGGGGAATTGCAGTTCTGGTCCTGTCCTTCTGGATAAACGGGTTGTGCCCATTAAAAGAGCAAACAGATGAAAAGGAAACGAAGCCTTTGGCTGCCATCAAGCCACCCTCAAGCAGCTCCGTTACAGCGATCCCATTCGGGGGCACTCAGGCGCCACCTCCGCCAGCTGGCTTTCCTGAGACATTCACTGGCTCAGCCAGCAGCGTGGCCGTCCCTTCCTTGCAGGAACCTTCCTGCCCAATGCAGAGCAATCTGCCTTCCTGCTCCAGAAGAAATGCACAGGAGGCTGTACTTTGGAGTCAATGTGCACAAAAGCAAGGTGTGTTGACCTCATTTTGCTCTGGCAATTAACACATGCTGCTTTGAAAGGGAATCCTCTTGGAGGAAGCAAGTCTGTTGCTGTCACTTAATAAGAATGAAACCTCCATGTTCAGCGACGACACACTTCAGCTTTTCAGCTGTTAAGTACAAGCTGCTCAGAGTTAAAGCCTCTTTGCGGTTTCTGATCAGATATCACTAGGCAAAGGACAGGTCTTTGAGGGAACACAGCCCCATCATTTCTGTATTTTTTCTATGTAAACCCATTTCTGTAATTAGGCCATTGACTTTCACAGTGACTCATTTGCCCCAGACAGAGGTGGGAATACCAGTTGTTTCAATAGGCCAAGAGAGCATGCAATTCACTAATTCATTACACCCACTGAAATAAGGCAAATGGGAACTGATATCTTTCAAAGCAATTCTCATGTAGGATAACTGAAACCTTCTCAGACTTTGAAGGTTTGGAGGACACATCCTCCAAATGTTCAGTAGACACAACAGGCTAGGGGGAGGCAATTTTATTCCCTTATTTAAGCCAAAGAAGCCCAACTTCACTGCTGCCAGAAACACACACACACGCACACAGAGCTGGGCCTTCCTCTTGCTGAAGCAATGCCCCCCCCCCCCCGAAGTCCTTGACAAGAGCTAGTCAGGAAGAGTAGCCTGACGCTGGGTTCTGGGGCAGGT